GAGAAGGCCGAAGCTACACTTCAAAATCAAAATGCAGCCATCAAAAATTTGAAAACTCAGATGGGGCAGCTAGCCATCGCATTAACTGGCAGAACGCTAGGTAACTTACCAAGTAATACAAAAATCAATCCTAAAGAGCAAGCCAAGGCCATTATATCTCGAAGTGGAATACAATTGCTTGAAATCCATGTCAAGAGATCGGGTGTGATTGGAGAAACATCTTCTCTCGCTGAAGAAGAGACTGTTGTAAAGGAATCAAGTTCAAAGAAAAATTCAGATGAGTCACAGGATAAGGCCAAAGTCACAGTCAACCCCTACGAGCCTCCGATTTCCTTTCCACAGCGCTTGAAGAAGCAAAAAGTGGAGCGATAATACAAAAAATTTCTAGAAGTCTTCGAAAAGCTCTATATCAACATCCCACTAGCTGATGCATTGTTTCAGATGCCTAGCTATGCGAAATTTCTAAAGGATATCATATCAAATAAATGCAAGCTGGAAGACCATGAGACAGTTATGCTTACGGAGGAATGTAGTGCCAGAATCCAGAATAAGCTTCTACAAAAACTAAAAGATCCAGGGAGTTTTACCGTTCCTTGCAAAATTGGTGAAGTATATTTCGATAAAGCATTATGTGACCTCGGTGCAAGTATTAATTTAATGCCTCTGTTTGTTTTCAGGAAACTCGGCTTGGGAGAAGCTAAAGTAATCACTGTGACACTTCAGCTGGCTGACAGGTCACTGACACATCCTAGAGGAATAATTGAAGATGTGCTTATCAAGGTTGAGAAGTTTATATTCCCAGCGGATTTTCTTATCCTGGACATGGAAGAAGACAAGGACGTCCCATTGATACTTGGCAGACCATTCTGACAACAGGGAGAGCGTTAATTGATGTTCAAAGGGGTCAGTTGATTTTAAGATTGGGAGAGGAGCAGATATCATTCAATGTATTCAGGGCAATGAAACTACTAGCAGAGTCTGACAATTGTTATCAAGTTGACATTATTGACAAGGCAGTACAGGAAACATTCCTACTACATGGTCCATCTGATGCCTATGAGGCATGTATTGCACAATCTAATCAGTCCAGTCAGAGTCTCTTGAAGTTGAAACATGTGCAAGATTTTTGGAGACCAACCCGCCATACACCTGAAAGAGGCACTTCGAGGAACTGGGGACGGAAAATACAAAGCCACTGCCCTCCATTCAGAAGCTACCAGTTTTGGAACTCAAGTTAGTACCGTCACATCTCAGATATGTATATTTGGGGGAGTCAGATACACTTCCAGTAATCATTTCGAATACAATTAGTGAGGTGGAGGAAGAAAAATTGCTCAGGGTACTCAGAGTGAACAAAACGGCGATTGGGTGGACAATAGCTGACATTAAAGAAATCGGCCCTTCTCTGTGCATGAATAAAATTCTAATGGAGGAAAACTGCAAGCCAAGTATAGAAGGTCAGAGAAGATTAAATCCGAATATGAAGGAAATGGTCAAGGCAGAGATATTGAAATTACTGGATGCAGGAATTATTTACCCAATTTCAGATAGTGTATGGATTAGCCCAGTTCAAGTGGAACCGAAAAAAGAGGGGTCACAGTGGTGAAAATTGAGAAAAATGAATTATTTCCCACCAGAACAGTTACAGGATGGAGAGTTTGCATCGACTATCACAAACTCAATACAGCCACACGAAGGGATCATTTTCCCCTCCCATTCATTGATCAGATATTAGAAAGATTGGCTGGACATTCACACTACTGTTTCCTTGATGGATACTCGGGCTATAATCAGATACCCGTCGCACCAGAAGATCAGGAGAAGACCACTTTCACCTGTCCCTATGGTACTTTTGCCTATCGTAGGATGCCTTTTGGTCTTTGCAACGCTCCAGCCACATTTCAGAAATGTATGATGGCGATATTCTCCGATATGATTGAAAGGTTTATTGAAGTTTTCATGGACAACTTCTCAGTTTTTGGATCTTCATTCGATGAATGTCTAGAACCCCTGAATTTGGTCTTACAAAGATGCAAGGAGACTAACCTAGTTTTAAATTGGGAGAAATGCCACTTTATGGTACAAGAAGGCATTGTACTCGGGCATCGAATCTTAGCAAAAGGAATTGAGGTGGACAAGGCAAAAATTCAAGTTATTGAGAAGTTATCACCACCTAAATCAGTTAAAGGAGTTCATAGTTTCTTGGGAGCATGCGGGGTTCTACAGGAGATTTATAAAAGATTTCTCGAAGGTTACTAAACCGTTATGCAATCTGCTAATGAAAGACGTAACCTTTGAGTTTAATGAAGAGTGCCTCACAGCATTCAACACTTTAAAGGAGAAGCTTACGACAGCACCAGTAATTGTGGCACTAGACTGGGAACTCCCTTTTGAATTGATGTGTGATGTAAGTGATCACGCCGTGGGTGCAGTATTAGGATAACGGAGAAACAAAATCTTTCACGTAACTTACTATGCAAGTAGGACTCTAAATGAAGCGCAAATCAATTATGCCACCACTGAAAAGGAGCTATTGGCTGCAGTATATGCATTCGACAAATTTAGGTCATACCTTGTCGGGTCTAAAGTCATAGTCTACACAGATCATACTGCATTGAAGTATCTACTCACAAAGAATGATGCAAAGCCGAGGTTGATTTGTTGGATGTTATTGCTGCAAGAATTCGATATCGAGATACGAGACAAGAAGGGCGGTGAGAATGTAGTAGCAGATCACCTATCCTGATTAGAGCCTGGGGAGACAAAAAAATTAGTGGACATCAATGAGATCTTCCCAGATGAGCAGATGTTGAGAGTAGATGAAGCAATTGGTATGCAGATATCGTCAATTACTTGGCCAGTTCTATCCCACTACCGGACTACTCGAGTCACCAAAGGAAAAAGTTCTTCGTCGAATTGAAGTATTATTTTTGGGAGGACCCTGATCAGATAGTAAAGAAATGCATACCTGAGGAAGAAGTACATGAGATTCTCGAGCACTGCCATTCATCTGCATATGCAGGACACTTTGGGGCTTCAAAAACAGCTGCAAAGATTCTACAATCAGGGTACTACTGGCCTACACTATTTAGAGACACATTTGAGTTTGTTAAGAGGTGTGACCGATGTCAACACACTGGGAATATCTCGAGGAGGAATGAAATGCCACTGAATAACATTTTGGAACTGGAGATATTTGATGTTTGGGGAATTGACTTCATGGGACCTTTCCTCCCTTCGTTCTCAAATCAGTATATCTTGGTAGCAGTGGATTACGTATCAAAATGGGTGGAAGCAGTTGCACTGCCAACAAATGACTCAAAGGCAGTAATTGGGTTCTTGAAGAAATATATTTTCACCTGATATGGTACACCGCGGGCTATAATCAGCGACGGGGGCAAGTTCTTCTGTAATCGCCAGTTTGAGCAGTTGATGAATAAATATGGCGTTAAACACCGCGTTGCTACTCCATATCATCCACAAACCGGTGGGCAAGTTGAGGTATCTAATCGGCAGCTGAAGATCATACTCGAAGTCACTGTGAATTTATCTAGAAAGGATTGGTCTAAAAAGCTGGATGATGCATTATGGGCTTACAGAACAGCATTTAAGACCCCGATCGGCATGTCTCCATACCACCTAGTCTTTGGAAAAGCGTGCCATCTGCCACTAGAAATGGAGCACTGGGCATACTGGGCTATGAAACAGTTGAATATGGACTTGAGCGTCGTCGGTGAAAAGCGCCTACTGCAACTTAATGAGTTAAATGAGTTTAGAATGGAAGCTTGAGAAAATTCAAAACTTTACAAGGAACGAACCAAGAAGTGGCACGACATGCATAGTCAGAGGCAAGATTTTGAAGTGGGGCAGAAAGTGCTATTGTATAACTTGAGACTCAAGCTTTTCCCAGGAAAACTAAGATCAAGGTGGTCGGGTCCTTATACTGTTATGAAGGTCCTACCATATGGGGCTATACAAGTGAGCCATGAGACTAAGGGTACCTTCACTGTTAATGGGCAAAGACTGAAACACTATTGGGGCGGTAACTTCTCCAATCAAAAGTCCACCGTTCAACTCGAGATGCCAGAATGAAGCAGCTACAGAAAAGTCGAGCTATCGACTATAACCTAGTGCTGGGTGGGAGGCAACCCACTGTATCCTTTTCATTTAATTTATTATGCTCTCTGCATTAGATTAGAAATTATTTTTTTTCAATTTCATTTTGCATGTTCTTTATGTGGTCATCGATCATCCATACATGTTAAAAGAGTCCAAGCACTGTACACACGAGTCGGGTTGATTGGAGTAGTTTGGGAGATTGGGTGTGAAATTCACGCATTTCGAGGTAAATTTTATTTTCAAAATTTCACATGTCAATGTGTGACTTTAAAAAAATAAATAAATAAAATAAAATTTTGGTTTTGGGTACTAAGTTTACGACCCATACACGTCCTAGAATGTTTAGTAGTATGTTTTTGAAAAAAATTGGGGATGTTGAGAGCCAGGTCAATTCATCAAGTGAAAACCACAATTTTAGTCAAAAGTCGGGTTTTTGGGGATATCATTTTATTTTATTCCCACTATTAATTTTTTCCAAAAAAAAAAAATAATAAAAATATTTCACTCATGCAGCCGCACAAACACAACCCGAGATTCAAGTGGCCAAAGCCACTTGAACCATGCGACCGCATAGCCTAAAGCCATGCGGCCGCGTGATAAAACTAAGGCGTGGGTTTTTAACCCACGCACGGTCCACTCTTTCCACTCTTTCCCAAACTCCCTCCCAACCAAACCTTCCTAGGGCACGATTTTGAGCTCGAGTTACATATTCTACACACACATCTCATCGTTGAAGTGTAATAGCATCGAAAGGAAATCAACTTTTGAACTCAATTCAACCCTACAAATACAAGGTAAGTGTTCTTCAATCACTCTAAATTTCGTCTTCGGGCTTTTCACATTTGAAATTTCAATTTTGAAGATTTGAGGAAGATTGGGCTAGTTCATGTATGTTTGGATTTGATGTGATTGTGTTGTGGAAACTATGGGATGATTCTTACATTCAATTCATTACATTGGTAACATCTTCACATAATGCACACCAAGTGTTTGATTAAATGCCACAATACCCTTATGTGTACAATTAGGTGTTTTTTTTGCATATACGTTGATTCACCAACATGGCATAAGATGTATTTCAACGGATTCCCAATTTCACATTACACCACATAGGCACATGACTAGGTCACCGCACATCACGGCACCCTCCGTCCCCTACTTTGTATCTTCATTTAACACATCAAACGATGTCCAATTGGTTTGAAATTCGAGTATGTGCTACACTTCAATGAATACTTTGATATGCCCGGAGATTGTCCGGGAAAATTTTGATAAGTCTCAATGATGTCAAGGGCCGAAGTGGGCACTCAGTCATGGTTCCAAATTCTGAAATGTTGCTTAGATACGTCGAGTTTTTCCCCATTTTTATTATTGGCAAAATACGTGAATTCAATTCAACATCATAGCTTGACAAGTGCACACCATATTACTAAACATGCATCTAGGAAAGTTTGGGAAATTTGTGCAATGCATATTTGATTTTTCTCATTTCTTACCTATGCTTTTCACATCGAATTAATGAGTATAATCTTACAAACTTTGCAGGATGCCTCCTAAAAGAACTGTGCGCGGGAAGGAAAAGGCAAGCTCATCCACAGGAACAGCCCGTACTCGAGAGCTCGCAGCGCGAAGTTCAGCGATTCTTAACTGCAACTACTATGGCACGATATAAAAACATTGTACGCCATTGGACTTTACATGCTGAAAGACCTGTTAAGCTTGATGACTTCCAGGGTTTTGAGTTGGTCAATTTAATTCAGCTCTGTGGATGGAAAAAGTTAGTGGAGAGACCGCATCCACTCTATGAGACTTTATGTCGAGAGTTCTTCGCTAATTTCAATAGTGACATTGACACGCCAGGATCCGAGCATTTCCATCAGACTTGGGTGTGGGGGAAATAGATTATGTTCTCTCCCGAGGTTATTCATGATTATTACCAGCTTACCATGGAGAATGTGGTCCCTCTCCCAATTAACTTTCACTGGAATGAGGTGGCTGAGGTTTTAATGGGGCGGGAGAATGCATGGCCCCTCGACACTACTGAGTGGCATCAGATTGAGCTTACTCCTTCCATGGCCATTTTATGGCTCTTTATGTGCCACATTGTTGAGTCCATATCACACAGGACTACATTTCCAGATCAAACAGCGGGTTTCATTTACCACTTAGCTCGAGGTAACAAAATTGATCTCGCTACTCATATATACAATCAACTGCACTCATTGGGGACTTGGAGGGATCGATGCTCCACTTTGATATTCCCGAGCCTCATTAGTGGCATATGTCGGGCTGCGGATGTTACTCTCCTACCTGAGGAGTAACCTGAAAAAGCTAGCCCCATGATAAAAAAACTACATTTGATGCTCAGACAAGGGCTCGGGTTAAGCACAATGAAGAGCAGGAAAATGAACGACATAGAGAGCAGGCAGAACAAGGCCCAATCCCTGAAGATCAGGAACACCCACGGGCTCCAGCACCACAAGCTGACATGGATAATCAGTTGCTGAGACAGATCTTCTCCACCACCACGGGCATTAGCCGGGACCTTCACAGTTTCTTTCAAGATTTTGGCAACATGAGGACTGAATTGGGAAGTTTACAAAGAGACAATCATCTTGCGTTGAACTACATCAGAGATGCTAGGGATTATGCTACAGTCATGCGACGGGAAGTTGATACCATGAATGGCCGGCTGAACATGTATGTTGGTCGGGTAGACGGTATCCAAATGAGGGTCAATGAAATTTGGGAGACCATGAGAGCTATTTAGGTCGAGCAGACACAACAATCTACGTTGATGAGGGAAATGAATGAGATGATGCGGTAGCTCCTTGGATGACACCCTCCTCCGCTGGACGATTGTACAGCAGGACCCAGTTTCCCACCACCTCATCCATTTTGATTCAGGGGAAGTACTATTTACCACATTTTGGATTTTCATTTTTTATGTTGTCCGTAAAATTCTGTCTTTAATCTTTTGTTAATTTTACATTGAGGACAATGTAGTAATAAAGTTTGGGGAGGTGATATGATTTTAACTAAGTATCTGTATTATCTGTGTTCATTGATATGTGTGCTTAAATTTTTTTTTTTTTTTTTGCATTTTATTCATTTTTGTTTTAATTCTTTTCAAGCATGCTTGTGTGGGTTTGATAACCTTGCTAGCTATGATGTTGTAATTGGATTAGGTTAAGCTGCAAAAATCTTTGGATCTAATGCAACTAGGCTAGCTGACACTTGTTGATGCAAAACTTGACATTATCTGTGCACGCTATTCATGCTTGACATATTAGATAATTGACTGGATTTTGAGCATAAAATAGAAAAAGAATGATAACCCTCTATTGAATTAAACCATAAACTGCCTTAAGATAGTTTGGTGATGGTTGAGCTATTGTAAGGGAGCATTGAGATGAGTGGAGGCTCCGTGCATGAATTCTATTGTGTGAATTGCTTAAACTAGTGAAATGAAGATTAGGTGAAAATTTTAGATTAGGGGTTAGTTTTGGAAACTAAATGTTTAGAACAATAAGGACATAAAATAAATTTGTGAAAACAATACACTTCTTTTCATGCCTTTATGACTCGAGCAAGTAAGCCTGTAAGGATATTTCAAAATCTGGTGCCCTAAAGTCAACTGGCTTAGAAGTCACTGGCCTAAAACTCGCTAAAAGGGTCATATAGAAAGCAAGAGGGAAAGAGGTTAATTGAAAGTCATCTGATCGAGCCTTTATAACTCGAGTGAATAAGTCTGCAAGGGTTTAAAACTTGGTGCCCTAAAGTCAACTGGTTTGGGAGTCACCGGCCTAAAACTCGTTACATGGGTTATATAGAAAGCAAATGAGAAGATGAAACTGAAAAAAAAAAAAATAATAAAATCAGAAAAATTAGAGAAAAGAGAAACGATAACATGAAGAAAAGCCCTTGGACATTTGGTTAAAGAAACTATACCTTTGAAGTAAGGCAAGTAACCTAGTTTAATCTTGAGAGTCGAAGCGATCAAATTTAGGAGAGCCTTCACTTATTGAAATGTAAACTTGTGATAGTGAGATTAATCCAAACTACGAGAGGGTGAGGACTGCAGCCATGTGAATTCCTAGTTTCAAAACACAACCCTGGGATAATTGAGTTAAAAAGAAACATAAGTTTGGGGGGTTGTGTATCTCTCGAGCGAGTAAGGATAGAATTGACCACTCGGGGTCGGGACTCAAACCCATCATGAATCTAATATGTTGGCATGAACTCACACACACACGTCAAGTACGCATTTAACAGGCGAAGGTTGATGTCATTTTTGCACTGATATATCTTCTTCAAATCAAACACTTAGTCCAATCCTAAGCCGTAGCAGGGTATTAAGTCATGTTTGTTCAGAATTTAGTCACTATCTTGTTTGAGGACAAACAATAGTTCAAATTTGGGGAATTTGATAAGTGTGTTTTTGCACACTTATTTAGGTCACAAACATGACTTAATTACGAATAAAATGATTGAATTGTGACTTAATTTCATTACATTTGTGAATTGTAGGTAACACCGATGGACATGGTGAAATACATGAGAAAAGACGCGAAAAAGGACTAAAATGACACAAAGTGAAAGTTCAAGGACCAAGGTGCAATTACTCAAAAGTTGACCCGATGAACAAATCAAGAAATTGAGTTTGCCAA